TGGGTGGCCTCCCACGTGGGTGCAGGGGCCTACGCGCTTGGACCATCCTTTAAAGGTGCAATAGCAGGGAACAGCCGGGACTTGAACTGGCACCTACATGGGATCCTGGCATCACAGACAGTTCCCTGCTGTGTCACAGTGCCAGCCTCAAGTGTGGGTCATCAAGGCTTATGAAAAGGAGGGACCAGACCTCCCAGGGTCTGTGGAACAGGACAGAGTCCTGAAGGGGACTGTGGGTAAGCAGGGGCATCCTGCCAGCTGCGCTGTGGCTGAGATCATCCCTGGCTCCCTTTGACTGTGTGGGGTACAGCTCCGTGCAAAAGCTCGTGTGTGTGTGTGTGTGTGTGTGTGTGTGTGTGTGTGTGTGTGTGTGCAGATTACCCTCCACACTGGGGCCAGGCAGGGAGGGCTCGAGCTAGAGTGGAGGCATCTGTGCCACCAGGGGTGGTGGGAGGAAGGATAAGGGTTGCTGCCTTCGGTCCCCCCTCCCCCGCCAGCACATGCCTGGGACGAGATCATGGGCAGCACTGAACCTGCCCACGAACTGTACAGTGGCCCCGTGGGTCTCGGTGGATGCCTGATGAGGTAGGAGCCGTCACTGTCAAGTCCATGGTCTAGCTGGGGAGATGGCAGGCTGCAGATGATGTGCTATGGGGTGCCAGAGCCAAGAGGGGGACCCCTCTTGCTGCCCCAAACATGTAGCTTTAACTCCTCTCCTCTATGGAAACCTCCAGAGAGGCCTAAGTGCAGCCGGGGTACAGGGAGCCAGGTGCCATGGGGCAGGTGGGCAGGTGGGCAGGTGGGCAGGTGGCGGGAGCCTGGGCTGAGGGAGGAGCATCGGGAGCTGGCCAGACCCGGCTTGCCCACCCGCCCCCAACTCCTCAGCCTGCAGCTCCTCAGCTGGGAAGACAACCAGGCATCCAGCTTTCTGCCACGGTGGGTGCTTAATGAGTACTTGTTAAGTCAACAGAGGCGTGTGGGGCTGCTCTCAGGAGACAGCCAGCCCGGGGACCGCCCAGCCGGGAGCTGGCCCTCCCAGAGGCTGCATTTGCTGAGTTAAGCCTTGCTCAGAGATGGCGGCTGCTTCCTCTGTGTGACCCCAGCAAGTCATGCCACCTCCTCTGTCCCAGTGACCTTGCCCTAAGGCTTGTGGCCACATGCAGTGACAGACAGGAGAGCCAACAGGAAGGCAGGCAGGTGCTGGCCAAGGCCCCTTGGGTGCAGGCCTGTGCACCACTCACCCGCACCACTGCAGTGGGCTGCTGGAACTGCTGCCTGCCAGGGCCCAGGGTGGGTGCACCTGCTGGAGTGGCAGGAGGTATGCCCAGCTCGCTGAGACTCATCTGGGCTGCTGCCAGTGTGTTGATCGGCTTCTGCTTTGCCAAGGCCATTGTGGGCAGGGAGGGGGCATGGGATCACAGGGTCGGAGGTAAGTCAGAAGACAAGAGCTGTTGGCGTCCCCCTGCTAACTGGGGACCCCTGGTGGGCAGGACCCTCCCTAATTACTCAGGCAGGATCAGAATGACAGTGGTCACCCTTCTGTCCCCGTGGGATGCAGCCCACTTCTCAGCCTCAGTTGTCCAGACTATGTGTGTTGCTAAAGCAGTGAAGTAAAAAATAATGAAAGTGTTTAGAGGCTGCCCTGAGCCAGCCACCTGCATCCTGGGGGAACCTGGTGCCACATTCCACCAGGTCTCTCAGCTTGCTATTTAAAAATGTTTAAAAAGATTTATTTGTTTGAAAGAGTTACAGAGACAGAGAGAAGGAGAGAAAAAAATCTTCCATCTCCTGGTTTACTCCCCAGATGGCAAGAGTTGCCAAAGCCAGGAGCCAGGTACAGGCGAACAAGCACCTAAGCCATCGTCAGCAGCTTTCGCTAGGCGCATTAGCAAGCAGCTGAATTGGAAGTAGAGAAGTTGGGACTCAAACCGGCACACATGTGGAATACTGATGTTGCACATGGTGGTTTTACCTGCTGTGCCACGACACCAGTCCCCTGGTTCTGACTCGGAGCTCTACATGTAACCCTGGATGGACACTGGTGCTGTCCTCTGGAGGGGGACCTGAGACCAGGAAGGGGGAGGACTCATTCATGGTCCTGTCATGGGATACTTGGTGTGAGCAGGTGGGGCTGCCTCCCCTACCCCCTTGCCAGAAGAGCCCTCTCCTGGAGGCAGAATCCCATCTACAGGTGCCTGAGCAGCTGGGCACTTGCTCCCTCTTGCTGCCGCCTCTCTCAGGAATCTCCCCAAAGTTCTGCTGTAAGCAAACTGTGCCTGGAGTTAGTTGGCAGCATCTTGGCACCAGAAGAAATTTCTGCTTTTAACTGCTTTCCCAGGAGCTTTTGGAAGCACCCCCAAGAGTGCCGGGGATGGGGCTGCTGACTGTCGCTGTGTCTTGTCCCTCTTGGGCCATGCTTGCCCTTTCCGGCACCTGTTCTGGGGAACACTTAGGACTCAGCTGATCCTTGTCCCTCAGGTGGACAGATGAGCACCTGCTCCTGGCTGAAGGGTCTGTGGTGGCCAGGGCTTTGGCACATGTGAGCTGCTGACTGTGGAGGAGGGCCCTCTGGGTGCCAGGGCACCTCGGTAGCTTGCGGGAGGCTACTGTCCCCAGGGCCCAAGCATGGGCACCAGGGAGGAGGGGCCTGACACCCTGAGCTCAGCCTGGGAGGGCTCTGGATAGCTCAGGAACAGGGCAGCCAGGTCTGCAGCATACCCGCCTGCTGTGTCCATTCGGCCTCTGTCCCCAACTGCACCCTCCCCTCCAGGGGGAAGCATATGGGACTAACGGGATCCCCGCCTGGCTCAGGGCATAATTACCTGTTGGTCTTTGGAATGGTGAGGCTCAGCGGTGCCACTTCCCAGATGAACCAATTGAGATTCAGTTTCACATTCATAACTTGCCTAAGACTGGGACCTTGAGCCAGGACTGTGAGGCCTGGGGAGCACCTGTGTGTTTGTGGGGCAGTTGGGGTGGAAGGGGGAGAGGATCAGGGGTTGCAGGGAAGGGGGTGGGGGCAAGGTTCTCTCTCCCTGGGCCAAGAGAGGGAGGGGCGGTGGGGAGACAGGCTCCGAAGCTGCTGATCTCTAAATTATAGCGTTGGCGCGCTCCAGTTGCCACAGCAACCAAGTGTCCTGAGCCGGGGAGTGTATAAACATTGCCACAGATGCACAATTAGATCACCCAGAAGAATAGAGCAGAAAATAGGAAATGCCCAGCCTTATGGGCTTCTGGGCCAAGACAGGCTTAGGCTTCCAGACCCCGGCCCTGCAGCCATCCAAGGCCCCAGCAGCCAGCAGCCCCAGCAGCCCCAGCAGCCCCAGCAGCCCCAGCAGCCAGCAGCCAGCAGCCCCAGCAGCCAGCAGCCCCAGCAGCCCCAGCAGCCAGCAGCCCCAGTAGCCAGCAGCCCCAGCAGCCCCAGCAGCCCCAGCAGCCCCAGCAGCCCCAGCAGCCAGCAGCCCCAGCAGCCCCAGCAGCCCCAGCAGCCAGCAGCCCCAGCAGCCAGCAGCCAGCAGCCCCAGCAGCCAGCAGCCCCAGCAGCCCCAGCAGCCAGCAGCCAGCAGCCCCAGCAGCCCCAGCCCTCTACAAGCCCAGCTGTCTCTCCCCCATGGTGGGGTAGGGGTCTTTTCACCATCACGACTGCAGGCAGGAATGCTGACAGGCGAGCCCTGCCTCTCACGGGCTACTGGGGCGTGGGACGCAGGAGTGCAGGCAACAGTACAAAGGACTTTAAACTGGCACCTGCTACCTCCTTAGGTGCTGTGAGGTTGGGATCTTTTCATTTTACAGGTGGGGAGGTAGACGCTCTGAGAGGGGAGCTGAGCTGTCCCCGGTGCCGTGGCTAGGCTGGCAGTATGTCGGCCTCGGCCTCCTGTCCACTTCTCTAAGTTGGCTGCTCAAGAAAGGAAGAGCCTAGATTGATGTGGGGTGGCAGGTTCCTGCGCATTCCAGAACTTTCTGCAGCGATGGGGATGATCTGTGTCTTCCCTGTCCCGGGTGGTAGCCTGTAGCCCATACGGCCCCTGAGCCCTGAGAATGGGGCAGTGCAAATGGGGGTATGAGACCTAGCGGGTGCCCCCCATACCCATTAGTTTACTTCCCAAATGCCCACAGTGGCTGGTTTGGGCTCTGCTCAAGCCGGGAACCAGCAGTTCAATCCTTGGGGGGAGCAGGGAGTGGGAAGTGGAGATGGTATGAACCTCATGAACCACTGACTTGAGCCACCACCACTGCCTCACAGGGTCTGTGCGAGCAGGAAGTCGGAGCCAGGAACTGAGGCAGCTACCTGCCACTGAAGTTCTTCATTTAATTCACTATTAATGGCACAGGAGTCCACCACGGTGGCTCCGCAGGCAAATCCTCCACCATGCAAAGACAGCATCCAATATGAGTGCTAGCTCATGTTCTGGCTTCTCCACTTCAGGTCCAGCTCCCTGCTTATGGCCTGGGAAAGCAGCTGAGTACAGCTCAACTCTGAGCTCCTGTGCCCACATGGGAGGCCTGGAAGAAGCTCCTGGCTCCTGGCTTTGGATCAGCTCAGCTCCGGCTGCTGTAGCCATTTGGGGAGTGAACCAGTGGATGGAAGATTCTCTGTCCTCTATAAATCTGTTTTACAAATAAAAATAAGCAAATCTTGGGGGTGGGGAGAGGTGCACAGATGTCAGCGGCTCCAGCAGCAGGTAACTAAGGAGGCCGTTCAGGGAGGCTGTGGGCCCAGCGCCTCCAGGACCCCCTGCACTGGGGGCAGAGCCAAGGGCTAGCCACTGGCAGGGAAGCGCCTGGGCCTGTTGGAGGGCAGCTTTCCAGGACTGGGACCAGGAACTGTATCCTGGTCGTCTCATCTTTCCTGTGGGGCAGAGGCCCTCCAATGTTAGAGTTGGGTGGCTGGAGCAGGGCGCTGGCTCAAGCGCCACTACCGCATCCCGCCTGCCCCTCCCTCCCTCTCCCTGCCACCAGCGTCTTACCTGCCCGGCTTCTCCTCCCCCTCACAGGCCCTGCGTCTCCCCAGGTGACCCCGCCGGCGTCTGGACATGCACGGGCACAGCCGCAACGGGCAGGCCCACGTGCCCCGGCGGAAACGCCGCAACCGCTTCGTCAAGAAGAACGGCCAATGCAACGTGTACTTCGCCAACCTGAGCAACAAGTCGCAGCGTTACATGGCGGACATCTTCACCACGTGCGTGGACACGCGCTGGCGCTACATGCTCATGATCTTCTCCGCGGCCTTCCTCGTCTCCTGGCTCTTCTTCGGGCTCCTCTTCTGGTGCATCGCCTTCTTCCACGGCGACCTGGAGGCCAGCCCGCCAGCGGCGGCGGCGGCAGCAGCGGCGGCAGCAGCGGCGGCGGGGAACCCTGCGGGCGCAGGTGGCGGGGCAGCGCCCGCGGCCCCCAAGCCCTGTATCATGCACGTCAACGGCTTCCTGGGCGCCTTCCTGTTCTCGGTGGAGACGCAGACGACCATCGGCTACGGCTTCCGGTGCGTGACGGAGGAGTGCCCGCTGGCGGTCATCGCCGTAGTGGTCCAGTCCATCGTGGGCTGCGTCATCGACTCGTTCATGATTGGCACCATCATGGCCAAGATGGCGCGGCCCAAGAAGCGGGCGCAGACGCTGCTGTTCAGCCACCACGCGGTCATCTCGGTGCGCGACGGCAAGCTCTGCCTCATGTGGCGCGTGGGCAACCTGCGCAAGAGCCACATCGTGGAGGCGCACGTGCGCGCACAGCTCATCAAACCCTACATGACGCAGGAGGGCGAGTACCTGCCGCTGGACCAGCGGGACCTCAACGTGGGCTACGACATCGGCCTCGATCGGATCTTTCTGGTGTCCCCCATTATCATCGTGCATGAAATTGATGAGGACAGCCCGCTGTACGGCATGGGCAAGGAGGAGCTGGAGTCGGAGGACTTCGAGATTGTGGTCATACTGGAGGGCATGGTGGAGGCCACGGCCATGACCACCCAGGCCCGCAGCTCCTACCTGGCCAGTGAGATCCTGTGGGGCCACCGCTTCGAGCCAGTGGTCTTCGAGGAGAAGAGCCACTATAAGGTGGACTACTCCCGCTTCCACAAGACCTACGAGGTGGCCGGCACGCCCTGCTGCTCGGCCAGGGAGCTACGGGAGAGCAAGATCACCGTGCTGCCCGCGCCGCCGCCGCCGCCCAGTGCCTTCTGCTATGAGAATGAGCTGGCCCTTATGAGCCAGGAGGAAGAGGAGCTGGAGGAGGAAGCGGCGGCCGCGGCAGCGGTGGCGGCCGGCCTGGGCCTAGAGGCGGGCTCCAAGGAGGAGGCGGGCATCATCCGCATGCTGGAGTTTGGGAGCCACCTGGATCTGGAGCGCATGCAGGCCACGCTCCCACTGGATAACATTTCCTACCGCAGGGAATCTGCCATCTGACTTCACTCCTGGCCAGCGCCACCCCCGACTCTCACGCCAGCCACTGCCGGGCGCTGGGCTGCCGGGACATGCACCGCTTCCCACACTCAGGGCACAGCACAGCCTGGCTGGCTCCATGGGCCTTCTGGAGGAGGGCCAGGGGCTTCCAAGAAGGCCACCCCAGGGCCCAGGACATCGCGGGGGCCTGTCAGCCTGGGTTTCCCTACACCTGCAGCCAGCTCTGGGCACCACCCCTCCCCAGGCCCTCAAGGACACATCCCCTACCCACCTTCTCAGGACCTTGGGGAAGCCGGCTGGACTGCTGGGGGTGGGGGAGGTGGGCATCATGGGGTCCTGGGGGAGGGGACCGGGGCTTTGGTGGGGGGAGGGCGGGGGGTGCCTTTCTTTGCATGCCCGTGGCCTGTCGCTCATGACCTTTTGTAAATATCTATAAATGGAGAGACACAGAGACGCCACTCCACCTTCTGCCATTTCCACCTGCAGGGCAAGGAGATGTATCCCGCTCTGTACGCCCTGCCCCCGTCTGCCCTGCCCTGCACTGCCCGGCCCGGCCCAGCTGGTGCCATGAGGTCCTGAGAGCCCCTGGATGGCTCTGGGTTTGGGTGCTGCTGAGGGAGGACCCCTCCCTCCCACCTCCCTGCAGGCCCCCAGGCCCAGCCAGAGTGACGACAGTGGAATTTGTAACTATATATTTTTAATAAAGTACATGGTCCAGTAGGGCAGGCTGCTTGTAGACGGTGGCATAAGAAGGAAGGAGAGGGCCATGTGAGAGTGTGGTGTGTAGTGCCCAAGTGTGTGCCCATGTGCATGTGGGCATGTGTATGTGTGTGTGCCCCTGAGCTTGGGGCTATATATATATGAGTGTGTGTCACGGCATGCGTATGTGTGAGTATGCATATCCATGTGTATGTGTGTGTATGCCCTGGGCATGTGGGTGCGTGTGCGTGCCCATGTGCACCTGCACCAAGTGCGCATGCCATGTCTGCACACTGCAGCTACTGTGCCCAGCTGGAATGCTTGTTGAACCAAAAGACCCCTGATGGCCTCACCCACTTGTCAGTAGGTGGTCCTGCTGCTCATCAGCTGGGGACCCAGGGGGTCCCTCCTCCTCCTCCAGGATTCCCCTTCAGCATCCTGCAGGTGTGACAAACTGTGAGGGCCAAGGCGGAAGCTACTAGGCCTCTGGAGGTCCAGCCTTGAACCTGTGGAATATCCCTCCCACTGCATAGTACAGCCAGCCCAGATTCAGAGTGGGGGCAGCATGCCCAGAGAGCTGGGCTGAGGGTCCCTTCAGCCCCAGTTCTGTCCCACACGCCCACCATACTCTGGGAACTGAGGAAGCAGGGGGCAACCTCCCTACTAGGAAAACTTCTACCCAGGCTGGGGGACTGGTGTGTGGCTCCCCCTGGGCGGAGCCAAGACCCTGCACAGCCTACAACAGCCCCATGAGGGCCGCGGAGCCCTGCTTGGCCATCTAAGACCCCCAGCAAAGACCCAGAGGGAAACTAGAACTAGGCTGACACAGCCAGAGGCCCACAGCAGCGTCCTCCCCTGTGCCCGCCCTGATTTCCCAAGCGCACCTGCTGCAGGGTTACTTAGCTACATGACGCTCAGCTGCCCACACGCTCACGTGCATTTCCTCCAGGGGAGAGCCCCTCCCCCTCATGCAGGCTTTCACAGGGTCCCTGTGGTTCTTCACACTTCATCTTAGCCAAGACAGAGAAGTGATTCCCTGTGGTTCTTCAAATGCGTCCCTGCCTCCAGTGCCTCCCGGCCAGGTCAGACCTGCTGGGTGTCCAGCGAAGCTTCAGCAGACCGGAGGGGCCTTGGGCTCAGTGCTGCTGGACTCAGCCAGGGTGCCATGGCCGAAGATGCCCAGCTCTCCCTAAGGGTGGGAATGGGAGGCGCTCAGGGCCCCACCTTTATCTACTGCCTTGTCCGGAGCAAATCTGTCCGGGTGTGCCACCTGCTGTGACACTTCTGGCAACATCTGCTTTAGGGACTGTAGCCTCGGCTCTCAGGTCCGGCTCCTTCAAGGTAATGTATGGCGCCTGAGCGTGAAGCAGGGCGGGGTGCAGAGCGAGGGGGGCTGTGGTGCTGCAGATTCTTCCCTCACTAGCTCAGCTCTGCTCCGAGCTGACTCACCTTCCCCCTCCCACCTGTTCCCTTTCGCAGCCCTCCCACCTGCCTCCCGCTCACTCGTTCGCTTGCTCCGCGTGCCACACGCCGCTCCTCTGGGCTCTCACTCGCTTCCTGGCTCCTGGCAGCAGCTGCGACAGCTCAGAACCGAGCAAGCTGCTGCCCTGGGGGTGGGGGAGCCCTAGGGATGGAGCCCTGGAGCCCACCAACACCACGGCCCGGGCCTATCCTCTCCCCTGCCCGGCTCCCTACAGCCCTGCCCTGCCCTCGCCTGCTCTGTGGAAGCCCCGGGGTGGGGATGGGCCAGGGAGTGGTAGGTGGCAGGGAGAGAAGAAAGAGGATTCAGGCACAGGAAGGTGGTGGCGGGTAGAGAGGATGAGGGCGTGGCTTGGCGGAAGCTGACAGCCCCCACTTGCCTGCCCCATGGCCAGGCAGGAGCCTTGCAAACCGCCAGGGCTTCCTTCCGCCACCAGCTTCAGGGAGCCTCCCAGCAAAACCGAGACAGTCAGTTCAGCTCCTCCAGCCTGGTTGGTCTCCTAGAGTCCTGGTCGGGGACAGCAAGGCCCTTTCTTCCTGCCTCACATTCCTCAGGTGCCGATGGGGTCTCTGATAGGAGCCTCTGGGCAACCCCTCACGTATAGGTGGGGGAAACAGAGGCCTGAGTGGGAGAACCTTGGGTCTCCTAGTCCTGGGCGTTGCATGAGGCCGCAGCCGCCCGCATCGTGGGGCCCTGCTGGATGGCGATAGGAGAGTCTCCTTCAATGGCCAGAGAGACGAGGCCACAAAGAGCTCACATTGCAAGCGTTTTCCTTTCTCCTGGTCTCTTCGCTGCGCATGCACACGCTGCCACCCTACCCCCCACCCCCCGCCCACACATACACAGGCTGTGCCTCCCGTTGGAGTGCACGTGCAAAAATACAAGTTCAAAGGCAAAAACGAAGGACTTCCCAGGCAGAGCCTCAGAGGGTGCAGCCCTGCACGAGGGGCTGCGCCAGCCTTGGCCCTCCCCTCCCTCGGTGGTCCACTAACTAACCCTGCCTTTTCTCCTCCATGTCCAGCACCATGATGGGCACCTGGGGTTGCTTTGCCCTTCTAGTGGTCACTTGCTGGCACCATTACTAATGGAAAGGGCTGCCAGAGTTCTGGAAAATGTTTGCCAATTTCTCCAAAACCCCAAGCTGCAGTAGTGGGTGGGCAGCCCAGGGACTAGCGTGCTGTCTGGTACCCTGGGCGTCCATGGCAGAAGGCCCAAGTCTGAATCCCCGCTCCTCTCAGTGTTCCAGTTTCTGGCTTCTGCACCCTGGAAAACAGCAGGGTAGTTGGGTCCCTAGCACCTTGTGGGAGCCCCAGATGGGGGTCCTGGCTCTGGACTTCTGCCTGTCCAATGTGCACCTGTTGTGGCTATTTGCAGAAGGAATTTCAGCACCAAAATCTGTCCACAAGGACAGTATACATCAGAGTTCCAAAGAGAAAAAAAGAGAGAGAGGGGAAAAAAAAAAAAAAAGACTTCAGAATCAAGTTCAGAGGGCTGAGGCCATGGCATAGTAGGTCAAGCCTCCACCTTTGGTGCCAGAGTTCCATACAGACACTGGTTCATGTCCCAGCTGCTCCACTTCTGATCCAGCTCCCTGCTAATGGCCTGGGAAAGCAGCAGAGACTAGCTCAAGTGCTTGGGCCCCTGCACCCACATGAAGGACCAGAAGGAAGATCTTGACTTTAGCATGGCCCAGTTCGGGCCATTGCAGCCCTCTGGGGAGTGAACCAGCAGACAGAAGATCTGTCTCTCCCTTTCAAATAAATAAATAAAACAAAGCAAGGTGTATCCCCACCCCCTCACCATGTCAGGAAGATGAGCAGTGATGGGGCTCCAGAAGGACCCCAGGGCTTGGGACCAAGCCGCCTGGCATTTGTATGCCCTGTTTAGAGGATGCCTGGGTAGGGGCTAGGGGGAGTCCCGGGTCGGAATTCTGCTCTGTGACTCCAGCCAAGTTTATCACTGTCTGAGTCTGCATCCAGATCGATGAAAAGGTCCTGGCCACTTGACTCCCATGTGGTGTGGATCCAAGAAGAGACTCCAGATGTGACCTGGCAAGCTTCAAACAGCTGACAGACCATCAAATTAAAAGATGTTGATTTGGGTGCACCAAGTTCCACAATCCATGTAGTTTTTTTTTCAAGATGTTCATTTTTCCAAACTTTTTAAAAAACCTCTTAGCATTTTTTTTTTGGAACAAAAAAAAAATTGTTTTATCCTTTGAGAGGGAGAGAGAGGGAAGTGGAGCTGCCAGGGGTTCCCATTCCTTGCCTACCCTGAGGTGACGTGAGGACCCTCAGTAGCACCCAAGGTCCCAGCACCCACTGGGCCGGCGACTCCCAGCCCCGAAGATGACCTGTTCATCTGAAGGTCCTGGGCAGTCTGGGGGCCAAGGAGGTCAGAGAAGACAGCATTCAGGCAGCTGCAGCTGGGGACTGAGTCGGTCTGGGCAGGGGGAGTGGGCAGGGTGGGGAGCAGCGGGGTGCCAGGCTCCAGCTCCCTGGCACCTGTCCGGGACACTGAATGGGGCAGGAGGAATAGAAAGGGCAGCCCAGCAGGGGAGGCCGATGGGGGGACATCTGTGTTGGGAATGGACAAAGGGAAGTTGTTGCAGGTGGCAAGCCTGAGGGTGAAAGCCGCCCCTCAGACCTGGCTGTGCTCTTGGGGTCCCCCTTGCTTCCTCCCCATTCCTGACAAAACTCCGCGGGTTCCGGCCTCACAGCGCCGCCCCGTGGCGGTCTCGGGCCCTGCGGGCCGAGGGAGGTAAACGCCGGACACCCCTGTGGAAGGAACCCCAACACCCGACTCCTCCAAAAGGACCACCTCCAGGGCAGGAAGCCGTTGGACTGGCACGGGGAGGGGGAGGTCAGGGACTGCGAAGGGACTTGTGAGGCCACGCAGTGATGAAGGAGAGACGGGGGCTGGGGTCGAGCCTGGGTGTGACTTGCTGTTCTGCTCGCTGGCGCTGGATTTTGCAC